AGACATCAGCAAAGGGTTACGAGCCAGCCAGGAGTGCTGGAAAGGCTCCTGCCCTCCCCAGCTGCCTGGGAGGAGTCAGTCCTGTGGGCAGCCGGAGGCTTAGCACGAGCCAGCAAAGACCCAGATAAGACTTTGCCTCCTCCGCGGTTTCCTCTGCTGAAAGCAAAAAGCCAACCCTCAGCTGCTGACCCCGCAGGGAACACGAAGAAGGCACTCTCTGTGCTACCAGCTCCCCATCACCCCATGGGCTCTCTCCAGGGATGTTTGGCACCTGCTGACAAACTGCAGTGAAAACCGCTTCCAGCTGAGCTAAACAGGACGAGCAGCTCGGGATGAGCAGAGAATTTTGTGATTTCAGCTCCCCGCCCCTGGGAAAGGCACAGGTGATCTCCAAGGACGCCGAGCGGCCGCAGGTCCGCGTTTACGCACCTTGTTTGGCAGCCCCGGGGGCTGGCTGAGGCCCTGGCACGGAGGACAAAACCCTGAGGGTTTGAAGCAGGGGAGCAGGGAGCTGCTCAGGATTTCTGGCCGTGGTGGGATTTCACACCACGCCGCTCTGTGGCTGGGGAACTGGGACCCCCAGTGGAGATGAAACTTGGCCACGTGTGCGAGCTGGAGGCGAGCAGCCCTGCTGTGAGCAGCAGGGACAAAGCTGGGGGTGCCATGAGCCCACCCTGACCTTGCCCTGGGGTTACTGAGGGAGGGCGAAGAGCAGGCAGCTGCTCTGCAAGCAAGGCTTGGAAGGAGCGTGGTGTTCCTTCCCCAAAAGCTCTTTTGGGGATTTGCTCTTGCACAGCCTGCAACGACAGCTCCCCCGGGTCAGTACTGGGTCAGACCCCATCCTGCCCACTCCATGGCCCTGAAATCCCCGAAATAACTCCCTGGGGGCACCACACCACCAGCCGGACTCACCCCTAGCACGGTTTTCCACTGAAGGCATCTCCACAAGCACCGGAGCCGTTCCTGGTCTCCCACCCCACAGCCCCAGGGACAGCCCCGAGGGCTCAGCAGTGGTGTGACCCTCGTGCCCCCACAGCCATGCACTTCCCTGCTGCCATCCAGAAAGTTTTAAGCAACTTTTTTCTCTTCTAATTACCAGATCCACGTTCTCCCCTCATCACCCAGCCAGGCCTAATGACATTGGACCTTTGATTGGAATTCCATGGGTGAGCTACAAATAAGTGAAGGGAGAAGGACAAGCACCCCCAAACGACCAGATTTCACACCAGCAGGCACACTTATTTTAAGGAGAAATATGCCGACACCCCCTGGGAGCTCAGGAAATGCCCCATTCCCTCCATACACTCAGGATATTTTACGAATAGCCACGATTTTATGAGGTTATGGATTTATCACTTCCCAGTGCATCTCCCCAACGCTCAGCATCTCAGCTTCCCTCCCGAGCCCCCTGCAAACCAGCTCCAACGCACCCGTGCCATCCTGCAAACCGCAGCAACCGCCTCCCCGGCGAGCCTCAGGTGCTGACAGAAGAAAATTCCTCCCATGAGAAAGCACAGACTGAAAACCAGCGGGGCCCGACAAGCAAGGCGGTGCCTGACACCTTCCAAACACCCAGCTCAACAAGGAGACACCGTTTGGCTGAGCTGGGCGGCCGGGCTGTGGGTTTTCATAACGCGTTCCCGCAAAGGTCTTTTATTTTTAACTGTGGTGGGAGCGGAGGAGCCGGGCAGCAATGCTTTGTTTCCAGTTATTTATAATTGTCGTCAGCTGGGTTTGCACGGGAAGCTGTTGTGTGCTGCCAGCAGGCAGCAGGCTCCTGTCCCCTCGCACAAATGGCACGGGGCATTGCTCCTGCGGGCTCGCATCAGTCTAGGCTCTTACTCAAACATAGCTTTGAGAAGCCAAGAGATGTTTTGGAAAACTCAGTATTGACAAGAGAAAGAAAAAGCTTCCCCATTCCTGCATCTTCCTTTAAAAAAAATAAATAAAAATAAAGAGTTTGGTTTTGTAACTCAGCCAGAATAAGTGGGGCACTACCCACAGAATAAGGCTCACCTGCTTTTCATCAACTCATCACAGAGCAAAACCACCAAAGTGCTACTTTTTTTTTCCTTTCAGAATTCATCTGGAATGGCTGCAAGGGCAGAGGACGGGCAGGAGGGCTTCGCTGCTTTCCCAAACACCACAGCAAAACCACCAGTGAGTGCCCCGCAGCTCCAGCTGCTCTGGGGCAGCCCTGCGGACATCCACAGCGAGCCTGCCAGGCTGCATGGGGGCACGGCAGCACCCCACAAAGCCCTGGGGGCACATCAGTGTACCCCCCGATAGGAAAGTGCCTGCAGCAGCTGGGCTGGCAGCGGGACTGGACCCCCATAGGACCTGGCCCCAGGGGCACAGGACAACACGTGCGTGTACAAATACACGTGCAAGTTCATGGGTAAGTGCACACGCAAGCACCCTGTTGCAAGACTCAGCTTAATTTGCAGATCTACCCCCCCTCCCCAAATGCAGCCGGTGATGCTCGTGCACAAAACAGGCACCCAGGCTGCAGGGTGAACACCAGCAGCACCCACTGCTGCTCAGCACCAAGACCAACACCAACTTCATCTCGTTGTGCAAGAACTCCCCCACCCCCTGTGTCCCAATGCCCCCCCCTCCTGCACCAAGCACAGCTGTGGCCAATGCACGGGGAGGGGGTGCAGGGCCAGAGAGAAAAACAGGAAAACAAAAGAGGAAGAGAAAAACAGCAGAAATTTGGTAAGTTGGCTTCAGTGCTGGGGTTTGCACTTAAAGGAACATCACACGCACAAAAAGCGGTTTCCAACCCATTCTTTGACATCCAAAATCAATGTAAAAAGCAACCCCGTTCCAGCCATCCTTGATGGGGATTCAGGAGCTGTCACAGAGGGCCCCTCAGACACATCCACCCCTCTCTCCAGGGTGCTGCTGTTAGCCTCATTATCAGGGTTTTTAGCACCAAGAGCACAGGGGGCAGGACTGAGACATCACTGTGGTTATCTGCTAAGCACCTGCAGGTGGTTTTTAGCAACAAGGGCCCCGATGTTGGAGAAATAAACCACCCAAAAAACATCTGCCTGGCCTGAAACCGCTCCTTTTTGCTCCCCCCCCCCTCACATCATACCTTATGCCAACATGGGACTCCAACAAGGCGTTGGTGGCGGGGGCCTCAGCACTGGATCCCCCCGCGCCCACCAGGCTGCTGCGCCGGCTGCCCACCCTGAAGGCTGCAGCCACCACCTCATCGTCGGAGGAGTTTTCATCAAAGGAGCCCAGCACAAATTTGGCCAAGGTCGGCCGGCGGAGAGCAGCGGGGTTGTACACCGCGATCTGCTCCTGCTCCCCCATGGCCGCCCTGCCGAGCTGCAGAGGGAGGCTTGGGGCCGGGGGGCTTGGTTGTGCTGGGGGGCTTGGTTGTGCCAGGGGGGTTGCCAGCCCTGAGGGGGGCAGCGGGGCTGGGCTCTGCTCGGGCATCTCCTCCTTCTTCTTGGGGCTAGAGCTGGACATCCTGAGGCACATCAGCAGCGCGAGGATCAGCAGGAGCACGGCCACCAGCACCATTCAGCTGCCCTGGGGAGGAGAAGCCGGAGATGCTCCCTGAGCAGTTTTGCTGCATCACGGGCTGAGCTCCACCATCAGGGGATCCTATCCACACAGCGGCAGCTCCGACACCGCCAGCCATCGCAGCCAGGGGACGGGAGCCCCCCCGGATCCCCCATAGCACCCAGCCCACCCCTCCCCACCTCAGCCGCCAGCTCCCGGAGCTGTTTTTTCACTTCCCAAACCAGCATCTTGGCAGCGGCCGCGCTGCTCCTCTGTCGGGATGGGAAAAGCCACCCCGTGGCTGGGGGGCTAAAATGGGCACCCTGCAGTGAGGGGGTGGCCCTGTTCCCCCCCCCAACTGCTGGCACCCAAGGGTGGCGGCAGCCCTGAGGTGACAGGGGTGACCCCAGCCCCAGCTGGGTCCCCTGGGGCAGGGTGGCCGTTAAACCGAAAATTCAGTTCTGTGAACCGTTAACGAAAGGGGGGGGGGGCCACAGAGGGGAACCACTGTGCCCCCTTTCTCTAAGGGATGACCTCCCCCTCTCCAGTCTCAATAAATACACTCAGCATTAACACTTTGGTTGTTTATTTTTAAGAAAGAGCCCATCCTGGGGGCTGCATGCACCCCTCATTCCCCCCAGGACAGCCCCCCCACTCCACAGCTCAGCACCTACCCATGTATGGGGTCCCCAATACCCCCCCAAAAATAAACAAAGCAAACTAGCAGCAGCTATATTTAACCCCAAAACACCACAAAACCCAATGGGGGCACTCACCATCGCTCTGAGCCCCCGGCGTCCCGGGACGAGCCCAAACCCAGGCTCGGCCACCTGAGGGGCCACAGCTCCAGGCCAAGCCCCTCCACACCACCCTGGTCGTATTGATCAGGGCTGGTGGCACTCGGACCCCTCACCAGGCCGGGTGACCGCCGTGTGCTGGGGGCAGCGCGTGTCCCGACCCCCCCCCAGGGCCTGCAGGCCGAGGACATCGCCTGACCGCCCGCGGGGTTTCACGTTTCAGGCCCCCACGGCCTGCGTTAGGTTTGCCTGGCTCGCACGTGACGTTAACGTCAAGCTGAAATATTTCCCTGTTAGCACGCCTGGAAAACTTCTGCTGGAGGAGAGAGTGGAAAGCAGAGGCGGGGACACCCGATCCTTGTGGGACAAAGGTGCCAGGCCTGCAGAGGGTGACGAGGAGAAGCTCCCAGCCAGCAGGCCCCAGTCACATCTCCCCCAGGCTCCCCACTCCTTCCACTGCTTCTTTCTAACCATACCAGACCACAGCACAACGTAAACCAAGAGGTTTTTATTTAAAAAAATCTGGAAAACAAATGAACAAACAACAACACACTTGAAAATTTGACTAGTGTTACCTTCCAGAGTAAATACAAAAGGTTTACAAGGGCATTCTATAAAAACATGAGTACAGAACAAGGCACTTCCATTAAAAGAAAGTATGAAGTCAAAGATAAACTGGAAACCCAGAAGCAACAAGTCCTCATCTTCTGCCTGGAGTGACGATGAGTTATTTTCTACAGTGGCTAGAAACCTCGTTTTACTTCTGTGAAGGCAAAGCACAAAACTATCTCTGCATTAAGATCTTAAAAGATCTGAAACCTTCAGCCCATCAACTGGCAAATCTTGATGGACAAGACTTGTTGAAGTCAGTCATCCGACAGGGAGATCTGCAGGAAAATCCCCACTCAGGAGGGAGTACAGATTTTTTTTGAGACCACTTTCATATCTTATGTTCTGATTTTACAGGATATCCAGTGATCCAGCTCCAGTGGTACACTCCATACAGGATCACCCCAGGGTTCATCATCATCCCAGCTTACCTGTCATCCAAGTGATTAACGCAGAACAGAGTCTAAAAAAAAAACCCGTAGTTCCCCCTTCAAAGGGCATGTTTCCTTTGGGAACAAAAAGCTCAGAACATGACCGGAGTGATGGTCACAGGCTGCCCTTGGCTGCTGGGCAGGTCAGCCCTGAAACCTTGAGGACAGACACAGTGAGTGAAGCCTCTGACAGTGTATTAACAGTCCCAAGAACTTGTGTTTCTAATCAATCTTGCATCTGTAGCAAAAAGGGGAAAAAAACTTCTTCTCTCACAAGGGGAATCAGCGTGGCTCTAGTTTCTCCCCAAAAAAAGAAATCCAGATTTGCACAGCAAAATGCCAAGGAGGAGGAGGTAAGGCAAGGCATTATTTACAAAAGCTGAACAGCTTAACCTGTAACAATTTACATCCCTTCACAAGCAAACATTTTCCCATCATAACAAACACAAATTACCATGAAGCTGTTTTTGTTTCAAACCAGGCTGAAATCTGTTCAAAAAGTAGTCAGACAGTCCATATAACATTCAAATTTGCTCTTAAAACAGAAGATCTGAGAGTCAGGTCTTCTGTTCCTTGAACAACATCAGGAGAATAATCTCAGGTCAGCAGAAGTTCCACAGAAACCAGACAACCCTTGAAACGGGCTGTTTCTGACCACCAGACCCCACAGCTCATGCTCAGAGCGCTCTCCAGTCGATGGGCTTCTTGCCAGATTTCTTCAGCAATTCGTTTGTCTTAGAGAAATGCCGACAGCCAAAAAAGCCCCTGTTCACGGAGAGAGGCGAAGGATGAACCGTCTGCAGGACGTGGTGGCGCTTCTGTGAAAGGTAAAAGGAAAAAAAAAAAATCATCAGATCTGCAGAGTTTTAGCTCCCGGGATGAGGCTGGCTGCTCCACTTCCTAGCAAGCAGCTGTAATTTCCTCTGCACATTTCCTCGGCCATCAGACCGAGGAAGGAAGGCCCAAAATCCCAGCCATGAAGGCAGAAACTTTTATCCCACTGAGCAGAGGCAGGAGGAGTGGCTGTGCACAGAAACAATAACACCCAGCCCATTTTTCAGTTGCTGTAATCCTAACAAATTTTACACTTATTCACAAGCCCCTTCCTAGAAATTCCCTGTCTGGGTCATCAACTGGAAGCTCTTCTCATAACAAGAGGTCACACTTGCTCCACTTTTGTTGCTTAATTCTGGCAAAGACCAAGCTAGAACAAAAATGCAATTAAGCTTGACAGCAGAGTTCAAGCAGGGAGAAAAACTCAACTCTGTAAGGAAACTGCCCTCTAGTGTCCACCACTCAACTGACAAAAAAAATAAAAAGCCTCAAGAGAAACAGGAATAATCTGTACCCTGTCAATAGAGCTGCCTTTCTTCTGCGCGTAGGCTCCCCAGAGCATGAAGACAACGCCATCCAAGTTCTTGTTCAGCCAGGACACCACCACATCTGTGAACTGCTCCCAGCCCTTCTCCTTGTGGGAGGTGGCCTGGTGAGCTCGCACCGTGAGGACAGCGTTGAGCAGGAGCACGCCTAGCACACAAACAAAGCCACGTTAACCGCTGGTTCCTGCTTCCCCTGAGAAATGGGGAATAACTGGAGCTGTTCCTACAATCTCAGGGAATTTACCTTGCTTGGCCCACCCTGTTAGATCTCCATGACCGGGGTGAGTGAAGTCTTCAATATCATTAGACAGCTCCTTGTAAATATTTTCTAAACTGGGGGCAGGAAGGGAAAAAAAGATTTTAAATTATGCTTCTGAGGCAAACTAATTTAGATATTCAGCAAAACTTGTAAGATAAGATACCTTAGAATCTTTATTCAATTTCTACCTAAGTTACTATTACTCTTCGTGGGAAAATTAGATCTTTGCCTTTCCTACCAGTTATCAAGCAAGCCCCAACCTTGCAAGCGCTTCCAGCAGCATGCAAGTGTCATAAATTCACTGCCAACAACTAAGACACACCTGCGCTCTTGGAAGGGCACCTTTAAAGATAAGAGCAGACAGCACCATTTACTGCTCTTACACTAAACAATGAGATTATTGATCTTAATTTAATCGTTTAAGATAACGCAGCCTTTGTAGCAGCTGGGCAACAAAGCCTCTTTGTGTTCCTACCTAGATGCTTTAGGAGGCCTCAGCACCACAGGTGTAAATTTAGGTCTAAACATATTCTTCAGAATACCATCTCCAGAGAATTATGCACATTTTCAAAATTATCTTTCCTCTAGGCAATGCACAACTCAAGTTTCGGCAGCTGTGACACATCCTCGTCAATGATCTGACTTGCAGCCATGAGTAACAGAATGAAATAATTTGTAAATAAAAGTACTCCTGCAAATTGAGTACTGCCATACCTGGGCGGAGGTGGAACAGGTTTCTGGACACTGAAACAGAGCCCATGAGCTTGATTAGGTCCATGATACGGATCTTGTCCCAAGATTACAACCTTCACCTGAAAGCAGAGCTTCATTATAACTGATTTGCAATCAACATTATTGCCAAAAGAGGAAGAAAAGCTTACAAACAAGCTCTATTCTAAAACAGGCAAACAAAAACCCAAAGAACTGACATACCTCACTACACACAAATTAAGGAACACAGCCCCTACCTAAGTCTAACCTCACCGCAGTTTTTCTGACAAGATTATGGAAGTACTTTGAGTACAAAGGACCAAAGCTTTCAAAAATCCACAACACTACGAGGGTATTTTTCAAGGAAGTTTCATTAGATTTGAATTTTACAACACATTCACAGTGATATCCACGATTACAAACACAGCTTATTGCCAAGGGGATTACCTAAGAAAGCTACATATATTTTTTAATTACAGTTCATTAAGAGAGCGGAAAAAAGCAAGAGGTACAAGATGGGAGAACAGGCACCACGTTATGCTGGTAACACTAAAAATAAGGTCAAAAGCCCCACTGCAATTCTAAGGGAAAGCCCACAGCCAGTAACAAAACACCAAAAACGAACTTGGGTGTGGGAGGAGACCAACAGAGCGGGACCCATGGGTGCCATGAGCCAGCAGCACCCACACCGGGGCAGCCCCCAGGACCCCACAGCAGTGTCTGCACCCCCCCCAGAGACCGGCACCCCCGCAGCCCCACTCACATCCCTGATGTCGCACATCTGCGTCCAGGTGAAGACCTGCTCCGGGGGTGGGTACACGGTGTGCCGCTTCCTCTCCTCCGCCACGAAGGCCATCAGCTGCGGGCAGAGCAGGCGGATCAGCAGGGACCGGGGACAGGGAACCGGGACAGGAACCGGGGACCGGCCCAACGCTCACCTCCATGAAGTAGGGCTTGGAAAACTCCTTGGCCAGCTGCCTCCGCCAGCTCTCCCCGAAGCCCGGCGGCACGTTGCGGTCCGCCAGCCGCTGCAGCGCCGCCTCCTTGTTCCTGCGGATCCGCTCCAGCTGCTCGGGGCTCAGCGGCGAGGCCGCGCCCGCCTCGCTCCCTTCAGCCTTCGCCTTCTTGGTGGCGGCACCGGCCTGGAAATAACGAGAGAAAAGGCGGCTGCAGAGCGGGCCCAGCCTCGGCCCGAGCAGCCCGGGCGCCATCCCGAGCCCGAGCCGTTCCGCGCCCCGCTCCGCCCCGCTCAGGGCGGCCCCGCGCCCCACGCGGCTTTTTCGCGGCAAAACAGCGCCTCGCCCCGCCCCCCCGCGCGTTCTAATTTTCCTATTGGCCGCGGGCAGAATCCGCTCTTTCCTATTGGCCAGCGGCAGCGGCGCGGGGCAAATCTACCTAGCAACCGCGCCGCGAGGATTCCCGCGAAACCCACCGGGCGCGGGCTCCTTTGGCGGGGCAGCAGCGCGGCGTGGGGACGGGACCGGAGCCCTGGAGCCCCGCATCCCCCCGGGACAGCGGTGCCCTGCGGCCCCCCCCCCAGCGCCCCATACACCCTCAGCTCCCCCCCCAGCAGCCGCTCCCCGCATCCCTCTCCCCATCACCTCCTCATCCCCGCCCGGCTCCGGGGAGCGGCTGCGCTTCCTGGCGGGCGCGGTGCCGAAGAAGGAGAGCAGCGTGCGCTGCCCGATCATGGTTGCAGCAGATCCCCCGAGCAGCAGCAGCGAGACCCGCGTGGGCTGGGGAATTTGGCGATTTGGCGCCAAAACCGGAGGCGGGGGCGGGGCAGGGGGCGGGGCGTGCGGAAGGGGGCGGGGCTCCGGGCGCGCGCGCGCGCATCCGCAGCGTGGGGCACCGATGGCGGGGGCGTGCGGGAAGAAGGCGAGGCTGGAGGAGAAAGAGGCGGAGGGGGACGGGGATAGGGACGGGGGGGTCGTGCCCGTGCTGCCGCCCCCCCCCTGCCGCCAGATCCGCGGGCAGGGCCTGAGCTGCGAGTACCGGCTGCTGTTCGGCCCCGCCGAGGCGGACGGCATCCTGCGGAGGCTGGAGCGGGATGTGCGGTACCTGCCCGGTGAGAGCCCCGGAGCCTTCTTCCCCGAGCGGGGAGGAGAAAGACAGGGGGGCGGCTGGCAGCTGCTGCATGCAGGACCCGGGATCTCAGGGTGGTGGCACCCCCAGGGTGGTGGCAGCCCCTGGGAGAGGGGTGCGGAGCTCGCCCCGACCCCTTTGCCTCTTGTTTGAGCAGATGAACAGAGCAAGCTGCACGTCTTCGGCAAGTGGCACAGCATTCCCAGGAGGAAGGCGGTGTACGGAGACCCCGAGCTGAAGTACACGTACTCGGGGGTCACCTTTTCTCCCGAGCCCTGGATCCCGGTTCTGGACCACATCAGGGAGCGCGTTGCCTCGGTCACGGGGCACAAATTTAATTTTGTGCTCATTAACAGGTACGTCAGATGTCCAACTGCATCAACCGTGCCAATAGTTCACTGAAAAATTGCTTGGCATTCGTTTTATGGAACTGGGAGAAGAATTAATTATTGCACTTACAGATACAAAGATGGTCTGGACCACATAGGAGAACACCGAGATGATGAGAAGGAGCTGGTTCCACGCAGCCCCATCGCGTCTGTGTCCTTCGGGGCCTGCAGGGACTTCGTTTTCAGGCACTGTGAGTCCCGAGGGAAAAACGCCAAGCGCCGCATCGAGCCCGTCACGCTGCAGCTAGCCCACGGCAGCCTGCTGCTGATGAAGTACCCCACCAACGTGTACTGGTACCACAGCCTGCCCATCCGAAAGAGGGTGCTTAGCCCCAGAATCAACCTGACGTTTCGGAAAGTGATGGCTATAGACAAGTGAGATACTCAGTGATCAAGTCTTTAGACTCTGAAAATGAAGGTTTTCTTCCCCGGTATGGCTGCCAGTTTCTGCCTCAAAGTCTTTGACAATCCAAAGCATTAAACCAGACGAGTAGATAGTATTCCTGGTAATTTACTAATAAATACTGCAACTATTACTCTGCAGTACCAAGAACACTTTGTCAGTACACTGTTGCTGTAGTCCTGCTGACACGTACTTTTAATGAGTAATACTCTTGAGGAAGTTTGTTCTCATCTGATGCTAATCTATGCCCTTGCTCAGAAAGATTGAAATATGCTGTATCGTTGAGATAGGGGTGAAAGTTTGTAAGTTCTATAGAGTGCAAAGCGTAATCATTTGGAGTGAGCCTGTAAGCTGACAGGATTCATTGGCTGATACTTTTCTATGTTCTGTCAATGAGCTACAGTTTGTTTTTTAAAATAAAATACAAATGGGACCACTGTGAAAGGAGGATTGCTAAGATATGAATAAAGTGAGTGCAATATGTTTTATAGTCACCACGATCTGTCTGCATCAATTCCTCTGTTGCTTTACCTCATCTGTTTGCATGGAAGACTGGGTTCTTTTGGGCAGCAGTGTGGTGGGAGAGGACTGGAGGATGCACGAGGTCCTGAGCCAGAAAGGGAACTGGTCCCTGTGTAACCAGGCTGTAAACATGTGAATTGCACTGGGCTGCAGCCTTCAGCAGTAGGTCTGGCAGGGCTATGGAATTAACACGGATTAGACAGTTTGGGATGGATAATCCCCACTACCAGGAAGGGGGATATTTAGCGTGGAAAGCTGTGGGAATGCATCTTACCCAGAAAATGTGAAGTGCTGCTTCTGTCAGATACACTGTACGCGGTCTGGCTTAGAGCTTGGGCTGTTTCAAGAAATTACCACCTGCAGACAGCTGCTTTTTCTATTAAGTTTGTTCATTTATTGCTACTGTACAGTTACAAAAATACCCTGAAGTGAAAACGCAACTCCAAACAGCAGTGCAGTGGTTTGACTCTAATATCATACATTTTTAAATAATACACAAAATAAAACAAGAAGAATCCAAACACAAAGATGTCACCTGGAGGGCCTTATCTGATGTTTTGTAACCTACGTTTCCTTCACACCTTTTCCACCATGAAAACTTGTGAGCAACAAATAATAATGGATGATCCTCATGTGCCTGCACAGAGCCCACTGACTTTGAAAGGTGAAGGCTGGGTGGGAAACTTCAGCAGAGGTCTTCGATTCTCCCAGTTGGCTGAGAGTATCCAGCACAGGACCAGGATTGAGGCACTGACAGTTGCCACCTTCCTCAGAGAGCTCTGCCAAGACTGCCTACTGCTCCCCAACAGTGAAAACCAGAACAAATGCAAACTATTCAGAACAAATTGCTGACTCATCTCTAAAACCCTCGAGGAAGCTTTCAGAGTAGGTCTGCAGCTGAGTGAAAGCGAGCAGTTTATTAATGTCACATATCAACTATGCTCCCATACTCAAACTAGTCCCTGCTAGAAAGCAGCTCTTTGCAAAAAAAGACATTAAAGGTGCAAGTTTGCAGCACTGCGTGGCTTTATGTTGCTGTTTTTTATGCCACGCTGATGAGTTTAAGACTGTTTATCTGTTGTGCGTATCTTCTGACTCACCTCCAGCACTGCTGCTTTCTAACCAAATGATCTGTTCAAATTAACATAAAATTCACAGTTTAAAACCCTTAAACAGACCCTACTAGGAACAGATAACGCAGAATATATGCTATTGGCAGTGGAAATGGTTGAGGTACAAATTGAAGACTTTGCAGGATGTTTTCCCTTCGGTGACCCCCAGCTCTGCTTTACACAATTCCTACCACACACCCGTGCTGCTCAGAACGGAGGGCTCTCCCCCCTCTTTGCTTCCCCAAGTCAGTCAGATCTTAGTTCACGACATTTTTGGCATTTTGCATCCTTTTTTTTAGTATTATTTTTTTCCTTAACTTAAAAAAGAGAAGTTAAAACCATGCTACTGTTGATGCCCTAGCCTAAAAAGGGAGGCTCCTTCTAATTAGTTTGTCGACTTAGGGCATTTTATATACTATGAACATTACCTGGAGGAGGAGTTGTCATCCACACTCTGCAACAACGTGACACTAGTAAATATTTTTTCACTTACATCCATTACCACTCCTATTTCAGCTGGTTTTGAGCCTCCCATTAAGGAACTTGAATGCCTGTGAGTTTTATGTAGTGATACCAATATAGGAAGGGGAAAGCTGTCTTAAAAAACTACTAAGACAGTTGTTACCAGCTGGAAACTTAGTTGCTGCTATATACTGAAAAACCTAGTCTGAGAAATTAAGTCTTTTTCCTCCAAGCAACAAGGATAGAAAAGAGCTAAAAACAGCCTACTTACTTCATTCCGAATAAATTAAAAAGTCAAAAGTAGCTTTTGCTTCTCCTTTCCTGCTTTGTTTGGGTTTTTTTTTTTAAACACATCAATCTAGAGCAGCAAAGTACAATTTCCATGTACTTTGCAGGTCTCTCCATGTATGGAGACCTGCACATCTAACACAGTGACAGCCTTTCCAGACTACTTTACCAGACAAGCTCCCATCAGTCCTGATTCATTTGCAGACACTCTAACGAGGATGCTTGGGCTGCTATATATCTTAGCTCACAGTCACAACCAGCATAAGCCCTAACGCTCAGCTGCCAGCCTGACTACGTATATCTGAATGGTTGATGGGAAATGATGGTTTGCAACATTAAAATAGGAAGGGCGCATCTAGAACACCAATTACAGTAGCCTCAAAGTAACGGCATTAAAAGTTGTAGTCCCTACTACAAGCAACAGTATTCACAGTTTCATAATGACCAAGGAAATTACAATACTGATCGCTAACAAAAGCTTCCATCTCTTCATTTCACCTATAGAGCAAAGATAAAGGGCAAACAAATCAGGGTGTCAGCTCTTCATTGATAAAAGAAATCGATCTTTTCTCCTGGAAAAAGGAAACTGCAGTTTGAATCAGTAGAAGTATTTCTGTGATGTATAAAGAACTGAAATCTTAGGAAAACAGTGAAGAGGGAAATAGGTTTTTGGATTGTGCATATTACGTAGAGATGCCTTGTTTTATTCATTAGCTGCGATATCAAAAGAAATCTTGTTTGTTCATAATTCATCCCATCATCTTGAGACATTTATCAGAACACAACTGACAAGCAGTGGACTCAGACAATGGTAACCTAACTGTTCAAATGAGCTCAAGGCACTTTGTTTCTCAAGTCATTGCCTTTGATAACAGTAGCTTCCCATCAGCTGCTTCTGGGGCTCCCTTGTTCAAAAATGTCTGCAGTGAAATGTATCGGATTAAAAGCGTCTCCCTTGGATAGTTTACATGTCAGGATAGGGAATATGGCCCTGGGAAGTCTGCTTGAAATGTCTGCGTTAGAGCTGTGATGTTGACAAAATTACTACCTAACAGAATAAATGCTTCTGTCATACAAATACGTTTTGGACTGCACAACGTTAGCAGACCAACTTTGGGTAGCATCATTTTGGTACAAAACAACTCCCACAGGAGCCAGCCGTTGCCATAGAGGGAGGGGAAAGTTAAAGGGCCTGTGGTGGATTATTTGCATAACAGACAGGAGGTGCAACGAGGATCTCAGAGGAATTTTGGCAGTTTTTGTCCTCCTTCAGTTCTCAATCATTCCTCAGCCCTCAGCTCCAAACGTTGGTGCTGTACCTTTGAGTGCACACGCTCATAAAAAAGCAAGTAAGCACTGGAAGAAAGGACCTCCTGCAAACTGGCTTTGCGAACTGTGTCATCTGAAATCCATAACCACTGATTGCTGACAGACAGAGGGCTCTTTGAAGAAGGCGGAGAGCGGCGGTAAGTCACAAAGTGTCCAGAATGCATATCTCCGTGGTGAACTACGACTGCCATCAGACGGTAAAGGTATACAGGGGAACTGGAGGAAAAATGAGAAAAAGGAAAGGGTCACCAGACCTTGTGGATCACATGTACCTAACGAAGCTCTCTCTTCTTTTCTCTTCAGTTGCAATTTCTTTTTGGAGCAAATAAATATCTCTGTAAGAGATGTGCTGCTTCGCAATTACTTTTCAATATACTAAATCTTCTCTGCAGTGCTGCCTTATTCTGCTGAGAGAACCAAACCACTTGTTTTAAATGTTTAATGCACCAGAGGGCTACTACGTTTTGCACAGTGTAACTGATTTAATTTTTCAGCAATGTTTTCCATCAGACGTACCAACATGCCAGAGTTTAGTTCTTACAGCACTGACTGAACAGAAAAGTTATTCTAGAAAGATGTTGTTTTAAACTGAAAAGAAGTAAAGTTGTGTCAGGTAATCCACAGATGACAATGGGTGTACTTTCAAGGACTTGCTCTACATGTACAACTGTCTTCAGAACAGATGTTTGGCACAAAATGCTTCCAGGCTACTGTTCCTACAGAGATTGCAGGAATTGTGCTCCCCATGGGAATAATAAGCAATGAGAGACAGAAGAAATATTATAGAACTATCATTGGTCGCAGACAAGAAAACAAGTGAACCTTCTCAAAAGCCAAGAAAACAGATTATCAGCAGAAGCATCAAGACTGGATTTACAAAGTAGAATCATTGCAGCTGCAACTTAAATTGAGCTTTACAATACAATTGTAAAGAAAAATCTAAGAGTTCTAAGATTTTCTTACAATGATTATAAAAAAAAGTAAAAGGAAGGGGTAGTAGAAAAAGAGTAAAAATAAGAACATGAGTATTCAAAAAAAAAAGACTGCTGCATCATCAATCATAGGAAGAAGATTGAATTTTGCTTGTAATATGCTATACTCTCTTTTATAGTAGCAGAAGAATGGAGCCAAAGACAACCACTAAAACTCAGTCAAGAGAAGAGCAAAAAAATTCTGCACAGGAGCTAGAATAGATGTTAAATTCCATGACTACAGAGCTTTCTGCTAAAGACGGAAGAAAACATAATTTGCACAGACAGAAATACAAACAGGGTACACATTTCTCACTTACCTGCATTCAGGGAATGCAGCGAGTGGAAAAGTTCCCGAGGACATTAAAAATGAAGTGGAGCAGGCACCATTCATAATGAGCGATTTAGTACTATGTGTCTGTTCTGCATCTGCAAAGAAAAAAAAAGTAGAAATTCAGTAATTTAACTTAAGATTGCTAATAACTGCTTCTGTTTCTACTGTATCTAAAAAGTATTGTGAAGTACTGTGAAAGTATTTTGCTCGATTTGCTACATTAGCACAATCCCTTAGCAATGACAGGAGTATAATATAAAAATAATTGCCACTGCCCTTGGATATGACACATGTGAAAATGGCCATGTGTACAAAATCCCAAATAAGTAAAAAACCCCAAGTTGCCTAAGTTGTAGATTTACTACAGTTAGATTTTCCAGTTGCTTTCTAAGAAGCCGCAATTCCAAGCATTCCTTCTGTGTCATTTTTGAAGCCTCAGAAGAGATCACTAACAAGCTAATCACTAGGACTTCCTGAGGGCA